ATGAACACCTTCCCGGCTCGATTCGACTCTTTGATCCCCTCTGAAACCGAAAATTCTGGCTGGAATCCAGATTTTCGCCGTATTTCCCAACGGGATTCGCCTATCAATTATACCGAAGCAAGAAAATGGTATATCAAGATAGAACTCGACGAGATCTATCGATTTCACTATTTGCTTCTTTTTAAAGACACCCGCTTCATGGAAAATAATCCGAAACTCTGGCAAAAAATAAGCAAAAAAAAAACGTTTTGTATAGTGCAACTGGATTCGCCTATAGGTTACACCGAAACGAGAAAAAGGTATACCAAGATAGTACTCGACGAGCTCTATCGAATGGAGACACGTTCGACTCGATTCCATCCTCGGATCGTCCCAGAAACGGCAAATTCTTCGCGAAATCCAGATTTTTGACCCCTATTTCCGCATCTGGGATTCGTCTATACGTCATACCAAAACGAGACCGTGGTATGCCAAGATAGAGATCCACGAGCTACAACGAATGGACAACTTTCCAGGCGACTCCATCCTTGGATGGCCTCCGAAAGGGCAAATCCTGGCCAAAAGCCGGGTTGTCACGGTATTTTGCAACTGCATTCGTCTATTGGTTATACGGAAACCAGGAACTGGTATACCAAATCAGAGTTCGTCGAGCTCTATTCAATGAACGCCTTCCCGACGCGATTTCATGTTTGGATCCCGTCCGATAGTGCAGATCCTGGCCAAAATTCGGGATTTCCTGGTGCGTGTGGGTGTGTCGGTGGGAGTGTGGGTGTGCGGCTGTTGGCAGATCTGAGTATCCTTTGCCTACCAGAAGCCACCCGCACATCCACCCACACACGTCCACACACGCCAACACTCATTCCCTCTTGTTTTTCTATTATTTCTCGAGTCGATGGGTTTTTTACTTCAAATTGAATTTTGAAAAAGAAAAAGCCTCATTTTTACCACACCAGAGCGACTAAGGTACTAAAGGGAGTAAAGGGACTAAAGGGGCTAAAGGGACTAAGGGACTAACGGACTAAGCGGACTAAGGGGGCTAAGGCTACGAATAATGGTGTACACAGAGACGTGCATGAGTCGCGCCACTTCGGGGAGGGGGGGCGCTTTGCGCTCTCATGCCGAGAAGCCGAAATAAAAGGTGTGTTAAGTCGGGAAACGCGCTTCCCCACTGAGTAGTCCGCTTAGTCCCTTAGTCCCCTTAGCGTCAAGGAAACTGAGCACCACCTGGATTGCTACTAGCATCAACTGGGATGCTAGTAGCATCTCAGCTGATGCTAGTAGCATCTCAGGTGATCCTACTGGCATTAAAGGTGATGCTACTAGCATTCCAGGTGATGCTACTAGCATACCAGGTGATGCTACTAGCATACCAGGTGATGCTACTAGCATCCCAGGTGATGCCACTAGCATCATAGGTGATGCCACTAGCATCCCAGGTGATGCTACCAGCATACCAGGTGATGCTACTAGCATGCCAGGTGATGCTACTAGCATGCCAGGTGATGCTACTATCATCCCTGGTGATGCTACTAGCATCCCTGGTGATGCTACTAGCATCCCTGGTGGTGCTACTAGCATCCCAGGTGATGCGAGTAGGATTCCAGGTGATGCCTCTAGCATCTCCGACGATGCCTCTGGCATCACAGTTGGTTTCTTTGGTGAGCTCCTAATTTGAAATTTACCCAGTTTGGACCTCACTTTTGTTGACCTCCCGTTAGTCCCTTAGTCCCTTTAGTCCCTTATTTCAATTTGAAATCAAGCGCTCTTTTTTCTGTTTAAAATGAGATTGAAATTAAATAACCGATAGTGTGTATTTGTCTGCGATTGCTCTCCAATTCCATCTTATTCTCTCTCATTTCGGTCTCATTCTCTTTTATTTTTCTCTTTTTCTCTTATTCTCTCTTATTACTCTCCTGTTCTCTCTAATTTCTGTGGTGTTCCCTCTTATTTCTTTACTGTTCTCTCTTATTTCTATCCTATTCTCTGTTATTTCTCTCCTATTCTCTCTTGTTTCTCTCGTATTCAGTCTTATTTCTCTGCTATTCTGTCTTATTTCTCTGCTATTCTCTCTTATTTCTCTGCTATTCTCTCTTATTTCTCTGCTATTCTCTCTTATTTCTCTCCTAATTTCTCGCATTTCTCTCTTATTCATCTGCTATTCTCTCTTGTTTCTCTCCTATTCTCTCTTATTTCTCTCCTATTTTCTCTTCTTCTCTCTTATTTTTGTCTCACTCTCTCTTAATTCTCT